GGCTCCGGCTCGGGTTCGGGGCTCGGTGCGCGTGGCCGGCCGGACTTGGCTTGCGGGCGACCGAGGAGTGCGGCCCGGCCCGGGACCCGCGGGTTCTGCGGGGAAAGGATTGTTCTTTGGGGAGTGGCGCTTATTGGCCGCCACTGTCCTAGTTTTAAAGCCTTGCCTTTGGGGTTTTCTGCACAGATTGCAGCTTTCTGCTGGGGTTTTGGGATGTCAGGGCGTTTTAGTGCTGGGTGTCAGAGGTGACCCGTTTTGTGGTCGTGAGGAGCCCCTGCAGCACCTGCTAGGCTGTGGCAGAGGAGGCTGTGTCTGGGGTGGGATGGAGAAACGAAACGTGACCGAGATCCTGTTTGGATATTCTGCTGAAGTTGTCACGTTTCTGTTCAGTACACCAGTTCACACAGCAAGTTGATAAACAGTTGTAGTATTCGGTGATGCAAGGTGTTTGCCTCACAAGTAGACCTGGGGTGATCTGGCTTGGCTGAGAATGTTCGGGATATCCCAAGCATCTGTGTCCAACGTATCTCCTTGGCAGGCTCATCTTTTTCTCTATTCTAGTATGGGAATAATGCTGCGGTAGCACAGGCCTGATACCGAGAAGTGTTTGCAAAAGAGCACAAGTCCAGGTGGGCAGGTAGGTAGGGTGGGAGAATAGCCCTTGAAAACCAGGTGCCCGCGCGGTTTTTTAGTTGTGATGCCTTAGATTGAAAGAAAGCCATAGATGATGGCATCACTAAGGTTTGTGGTTCGAATCCTCTTAAAGCATCTTTTCGCGGAAACACTATCACATAAAGCAATCTTATGGTCATTCCTATGTATCTTTTAATGTGTCTTGGATTTTGGGCTCTATTTTAAATAGAACACATATATTTGTGTTCTGCTTTATCTTGGAGACAACCCTTAGTCATGCTTTCTAGAAGTTCCGAGAGCTCACGTGTCCGTTCTGTCTGTCAGTGCGGGACATCTTTACGTTTAGTTCTTCCTATTGTAGTCGCTGTGGGAACTCCTGGGAAGAGCACAGGCACCCCATGTTTGCCCACTGTGCTCGACTTTACCGCTCAAATTTTGTTTATGCTTCTAGGAGTAAAGAGCCATTTGTCAGGTTCGTATTTACTCCTAGTTAACCTCTGCTGGAAGGCCGCACAGTGACTTCAGAACTCCGTTCCTTTTCACTGCCCTGGCAGCCAGTTTTACCTATGCTGTTTACTTTTGGAAAGGTCATAATAGCCCATTTTAGTGGAAACTGAGGGGAAGTGGAATTTCATGTTTGTTTGTTTTTAATTTGACTCTGACAACACTTTAGCTGGAGAGTGTGGATGCTTCTGATTCGATACTTTAGAAAATTCCTAACTTCTTGAAAGTCTTTCTACTTTTCTGGTTTCATCTCCTTTCTTCTAGCCCACATGGTTGAGAGAGGGGGAGGAAGAGGAAAAAAAAATCCATCTCTGGTTTAGTTGTCGGTAATTTAGCTTTATAATCCCATTATCCTTGTGTGCCTGGCAGCTTGTGCTGGCCTGCATGTGGACTTTAACTCAGACGACTCCTTTAGATGCCACTGAACCAAGTACTATAAAAAGTATTTCACTTTCAAACTCCCACGTTTCCCAGAACAGAGAAAGTACAAAGGCAATTTGGAAGGTAAGTATAGGTGGAGAAAATTCACTGAGTCTTCTTTTTGGGATAGCAGGCACAAGGGTCTCAGTAGAAGAAAAAAAAAGGCTACCCAGAAACCCTGGGAAGGAAGTGATTGCAGTGGTCTCATTCATTCCTCTTTCAAATTTGGAGGTTTCCATCACAGCGTATAGACTGTTGCATGGGAGAAGGACTTTTGTTCTGGGGGAGTCTCAGTCTACAGCAGAAGTAAGTCTAGAGTATTTGTGTTAATGTATTGTAGCCCCTGAAGAAGGATACCACTGAGGGTTCTCACATGCTTTTAAGTTGTTAGCTTACTGAATTGTGCATTCTTCAGATTCTCTAGGTCAGTAAGTTCATAATTTCTTTCAGGCTTCTAGGAATTCTTCAGGATTTGTTTTTCGCAACTACCTGCTAGCCTGCCGTCAGAGTTACACACTAGTTATAACCTTTGAAACCTAAGCATGGGGACCTCAGGGTTGCCTTATAGTCTTTGGGACGTGGATTTTATTTGTATCAAAGGTCTGATATTTTCAGGTGAACTGATTTTGCAAAATCAGAAAGTCTTTCTTTGAACTTTATAGTTATTGTTTGGTTGTGGTTACTGCCCTAAAAATGTTCTTTAGCGAGGGAAATATCTTTAAAAGAATTTTATGAGGAATGAATCACAGATTTTATGAAAAAGTATTTCTTTACTTACCCCTCAAGTAAAACAGGCCTGTTTGATGCCCCACTTGAAGGCCTTCTGTTGCCTGGCTTGTGGTCATTTAAACTTCTCATTAAGTCCTCCACTGGAGATGGTGCGATGGGAGAGAAGATGAAAAGGAAATGAATTGTTAGCACCCCTGGGAAAGGGTTCATTGGAAGAGACCGAAGCTGTTCTGTGAGGTCTTGGGTTGTGTTTTATTGCATCCACGTCTGAGATGTCCCTGATAGTCATCAGTTCAGAACGCGACTGTTGCAGAAGCAAGAATCTTGCCCCTCCCTGTCTCCCTGGATTTTTGTAGAGATGCTATGCTGTAGCAGGTGTTTACAAGCGAGGTGCGGAGATCAACTTTAGATGAATCAAGATTGCCTTTTATTGCTTTTTGAGTTTATTAGTGAACAATTTATTATTACTGTTTTTCAGGTAGCTTAGTTATATTGGAAGTGACTAGTAGTGACTGTCTGTCTCATTTTATTTTCACGTATCTTACATACAAGTATAAGGCCTTGAGGTGCTTTTTAAGAGACCTGGGCTTAGATCACGGAGCTAGCTCCATAGTAAAGGCACACATCATGGCATGAGGGCCTCAGCCTCTAACTCCCACACACAAAGGGAGAGAGGAAGGGAGGGATAGAAAGGAAGGAAGGAAGGAAGGAAGGAAGGAAGGAAGGAAGGAAGGAAGGAAAGAAGGAAGGAAGGAAAGAAGGAAGGAAGGAAGGAAGGAAGGAAGGAAGGAAGTTACATAGGTTCCTATGACGGCTTTTCTAAATTATTAAGCTTGAGGTTCGTTATATGTTTGTAGCCAGACCTTGACTTTTGCTGTGGAAGAGATTCAGAAACGTCTAAGTTTTTTTTTGCTTGTTTGTTTTAATGTTTGCACAAGAAGTTATCTTGTTTTGATTTAGAAGTGAAGACATAAATATGCAAGATTAGTCCTGGCATAATAGCGGTGGCATTGCTGTCTGATGATTTTCTTCCGGCTTTGGGCTTCCACTCTTCATTAGCCATTTGAATGTTCATGAACTGGAATTCTTCCTGTCGCTTAAGATGGGACAGCAGCCATTAGTCACACTAATGAGCAGGGTCTTGCTATTTTTATTTAGTGGTAGAAATTTTTTTACGACTCATTATGACTAGTTAATTAGCCTAAGTTTTTGTGAGGTTGTGAATAAAGCGCCAGGTGGATGGGGTTAATGGTTGGCTATGGGGAGTATAAAGTTGATGCTTTTCAATTTGGTGTTTGGATTTTGTTCTTTGAATTTCTACTATAGGAGGTGCTTTTGGAAAAATCTTGACCAGGAGTCAGAAAACACAAGTTCTTGTTCAGGCGTCCCTGCCCCTTTATTTTGTAACTGAACAGGGGTGTGCTCACGAGCAGAAAGACTGCTATATTGGCTTGATTCTGGAATCCCTGCTCAGGTTGGGCACATTTTCTTCCGGTGTTCACCGAGGATCTCTTCTCTGAAGCCCGACATTTTCCCATTTGGAGACTAGGTCTCTTCCTCCTGAGGTCTCCACCAGTCTGTCCTGTTAATGGCAGTTTGGAATTATATTGTGGGCTTCAACTGTTGTGCGTTGCCTCCCTTTGTAGAATCCTGAGGTCAGGATTCACTATTGTATTCCTGGGTATCCGTATTTCACTGGGGCTCCCCTGCCCTGTGATACCAGACCTAAAATAAGTTTGGTTGAGTGATTTTTTTTTTTTTTTTTTTTTAGTAAATTTTATTAAATTATAAAAGTTTCCATTTCCACCCCCCCTCCCAACACCCTCCCACTCCCCCTACTCCCCCTCCTCCTCCCTCTTCGTCCCCCAGGGCGGTCAGGGTTTCCTGCCCTGTGGGAAGTTCCAGTTCCTTCCCCCTCCCTCCAGGTCCAGGAAGGTGAGTGTCCAAACAGACTGGATCCCCAAAATCCATTATATGTAGAGGAAACAGGTCCCAGTGTCATAATCAATGGCTTTTCAGAAAGACTTCGGGTCAGCCACAGTCAGAGAATCCGGCCAAATTCGGAGAGTCTGGTTAGATCACGTCCTCTTTCAGTCCCAGTCCAACTGGCCTTGGTAAACTCTCATCAGATCCGTTCCCTTGTATCAGTGGGTGATGGCATCCCTCGCAGTACTGACTTCGTTTTTCATGTTCTTCCTCCTTCTGCTCCTCATTTGGACCTCGGGGGGCTCAGTCCCGTGCTGCAATGTGGGTTTCCGACTGTATCGCCATCCTTCGTCAGATGCAGGATCACTCGGAAGGCCCTCTGGATGGAAGCTGGGATGGCTGGCGGGACTGGTTGAGTGATTATTGAGGCAGTGGGGAAAGAATACTTTGAGTTTTGGGAAATGCCCTTTAACTCACTGCATCATGGATTTGTTGTTATCGGTAATGAAACCAAAAATTGCTAGCGCTCACGTCTTCCATTTACATGAGATGGGGTTTGTGGAGTGAGTCAGAGTGAGAAGGTAAAAGGCCTCTGGTGTGACTTTTGTACGTCTCACTAGAGTACGGAAGGCTGACCGTCTGTACCCTGCGGCTGAGAGTAAAGAATGACAGCCGCCTGCATCTCCTCGGTCCACATTTTAGCTTGTTTGCTTTGAAGAATTTGTAAAGGTAGAGAAATAGCTGCTGCCGGCTCTGATTTCAGCCCCTGCTGTGCTATGCAAATGCTCTCTACATGCCTGAGTGACCTTTTGAGAAAGAGCCTTTGTGATCTTTTGTAGCCAGGGCTTGTTCTTGTCCTGGAAATGGGGACCAGATTCCACTAAAAGTGGAAAAATGGGCCTTCAAAGGCCACATACAAAGCTGGTGCTTTTCCTGGGGAAAGGACCGGTAGGTATGTCCGTGTTTCTTGGCATCTCTGCTAGTGATTTTGAAATTGGCTCTGCAGTTTGCTTTGCAGGTTGATTTGGAGAACAGAGGGAGTGAGAGGGAACTGACGAAGGCAGTTCAGTGGCTGGAGAACTGTGGCATGCTCTTGAATTGGAGATAAAAGCAGATTGAAGCTGGCATCATTAATACATGGGCCTTTGCCAGTGGCCTAAGACTGGCTCTCCATGGTGCTGCTTGAGTGACCTCAGCCAGGTCTGTGAGGTTCTTTTTGTACCAAATTGTGCCTTACCAGTTTGACATTTGAATTGTTTCTGTTTGTTTTGATTAATGTACAAAGAGAAATACTTCATTATTAAGCCTGATTAGTTTTTTACATTATAAGGTAATAATAATCTGTTTTTTTTTTCTTTTGGAAAGTGACCATTACTTTTGAAGCTCATGATTTTAAATGCTTTCTGAGATGCTTAGTTTATACAGCTGGCATGCTGATCCAAAGGAATTTTCCCCTTCCCCCTCAAGTGACCTTTTTGATGTAGAGCATCTTATAGGTCAGAATCAATGTAAGATTGTAGACCTAATCATAATGTTCTCTGAAAATCTAAAAATTACATTTTTAGAAAATTTACATTTTGGAAAATAGTGGCAGAATTGGTCAGATTTTTTTTTATTACTTATGATGGTGCCTGTGACTGTGTGTGTGGAGGTCAGAGGGCAAAGGTCAGAGGACAACTTGTGGAAGTTTTTTCTCTTTCCACCATGAGGGTCCTGGGATCAAAGTCAGGTTTTCAGGTAAGCTGCTTTACCTACTGGGTTGTCTTGCCAGCCCTGAGTGACAGACTCTTCCCATCTTCTCCAAGTAGGCTAGTCCTTTGTGCCCAGTGGGCTCCAGAGGTAAGGACAAGCGAGGCATGACTTTCTTCCCCACAATTTCTCCCTGATGTAGGTTCCAATGGGCCATATGTGAGTGGTCCTTGTGAGGTCTGAGCTACTGCATTGGGCAGAATAGCTCTTATTCTCCATTGTCATGGTTATGTGTTTGTTTTCTTCCTCCAGAGTCTTCCTGGTTCCTGGGCTCCTGACGGACTGGTGCTGGAGCAGATGGATAATGGAGACTGGGGCTATATGGTGAGTGGTCCGTGCGCTTGGAAGGCTGGCAAGTCATTTGGACATCTTTCTCTGCATGTTCATAGGCTTATCTTACAAGGATGAAACTATGAATTTGTGCAGCTCCATCTAATTTGTGTGGATGTATTTGGGATGTGTATCTTTATTTGGTTTGACGTTTTAGTGGAAGACTCAGTGCATATTCTCCAAATAACTTAACATTTTTATTTTATATTATTTATTTTAATTATGTGTGGGTGAAGCGGTGAGTGCAGTGTTCTGGAGTCCAGAAGAGGGCGGGCATATGGTCCCTGGAGATACTGTGAGCCACCCAGACATGGTTACTGGAAGTGGAACTCAGTTCCACTACAGTAGTACATTGCTTTTAACTCCTGACATCTCTCTGCCCACCTAGTAGCTATTTGTAACCACTAATGTCAGGTAGACCATGATGTTTTGGTCTTTGGCGTATGTTTAAATTCTCTGTTCATAGAATGGAATGTCCAAAGGGCCCCGGGGAGAATGGAGCAGAGGATGCTTTGTTGTAGTAAAGGGATTAATAGGTAGAAGGATTTTCTTCTCATGTGCAGTTTTCATATGTGTCCATGTCTGCCTATATTCTTCCTCATCAGGTAAGAAATATTTTGCTTTCTTAGAACCTGAAGACCATCTTTGATTTTTTTTTTCTTAAATAGGATTTCTAAGGCTGGTGGTGTGTTATTTTGAGAAGCTTCTTTCTCAGAATTAAAGGTCAAATTGCAGCATTAATGTTACTAAAGTGAATCTACAATCAGACTATGACATTTGAAGCTGCTATTAGCCCTTGGGTATGTGGTAGTTTGGGGCTAGAACATAGGCTAGATTGTGTCCACCAAACCTTATATTTTTTAGTTTAGTACTAGGAAGTTATTTCCTGGGCATGGTGGTGCAGGCCTGTAATGTCAACAACACTTGGGAGGTAGACACAGAAGGTTTATGCATTTTTGACTTGCTTTATCTACGTAGTAAGATGCTGTCTCAACAACAATAAAAAGAAAAACCAGAAAAGAAAAAAGAATTGTTGCTTCCATAAAAAAAATTACTAAGATTAATTCTAAATAAATTTTTGTTTTTAAGATACATTTTGGGACGGGGGGGGTGGTGGCACACACCTTTAGTCCCACCACTTGGGAGGCAGAGGCTGGTGAATCTCTATGAGTTTGAGGCCAGCCTGGTCTACAGAGTGAGTTCAAGGACAACCAGGACTGTTACACAGAGAAACCCTGTCTCGGGGGTGGGGGGCAGAGTGGGGATACATTTTGGAGTTGGAGAGATGGCTCAGCAGTTAAGAGCACTTCTGCTCTTGCAGAGGACTGGGTTTGGTTCCTAGCATCCAGCCTAAGATTCACAATCACTGGTAACTCCAATCCCTAGACAATCCGTACCCTTGGCTTACATGAGGTACACATACATATATGCAGGCAAAGCACTCACACACATAATTTCATACATATATTTCACAACTGGGTGTGATGATGCTCTCCTGAGATCTTAGCACTGGGGCAGAGGCAGGAGGATCAGGAATTCTAGACCATTCATCGCTACACAGTGAATATGAGGCCAGTCAAAGTTATGTGAACTTTGTCTCAAAAAAAAAAAAAATTACATCTCATGACTCCTTTGAGGAGAAGATCCCAAAGTTCATTATTGCTGCACTCTCAGATTACTTTTATTCTAGCTTCTGTTAAATTTTAAAAATCTGAAGGTCTTGTCAAGTGTGGTGGCACACACCTTTAATCCCACCAGGGGAGGTAGAGGCAGGCAGACCTGACTCAAAATCTCTTCCGATTCTGGACTTGACTGTATGACACTAAAGGTCACGCCCAGCAGGAATAGAGTAACTTTTAAAAGATTGGATTTATTTGATTTGAAAGCAAATGTTGAAGGCCTTCTCCTGGTGAGTTATTATTGAAAGTAAGCCTGTTTCCTCCCTAGAACTGCCAAATACGTGACAGCGGAAAGGGGTCTTATGCTGGCTGATCCATATTGATCTTGTTAATTTGTTGAAGTTGTGATTTTATGGTTTCAGGTGACTGTTTCTTTGATTTCAGATGACTGACCCAGTCACGTTGAATGTAGGCGGACACTTGTACACAACGTCCCTTACCACATTGACACGTTACCCGGATTCCATGCTTGGAGCTATGTTTGGGGGGGACTTCCCCACAGCCCGAGACCCTCAAGGCAATTACTTCATTGATCGAGATGGACCTCTTTTCCGCTATGTCCTCAACTTCTTACGAACTTCAGAATTGACCCTCCCCCTGGATTTTAAGGAATTTGATCTTCTTCGGAAAGAAGCTGACTTTTACCAGATTGAACCCTTGATTCAGTGTCTCAATGACCCTAAGCCTTTGTATCCTATGGATACTTTTGAAGAAGTTGTAGAGCTGTCTAGTACTCGGAAGCTTTCTAAATATTCCAATCCTGTGGCCGTCATCATAACCCAGTTAACCATCACCACCAAGGTCCATTCCTTACTAGAAGGCATCTCAAATTATTTCACCAAGTGGAATAAGCACATGATGGACACCAGAGACTGCCAGGTTTCCTTCACCTTTGGACCATGCGATTATCACCAGGAAGTTTCTCTCCGGGTCCACCTGATGGAATACATTACAAAGCAAGGTTTCACAATCCGCAATACTCGGGTGCATCACATGAGCGAGCGGGCCAACGAGAACACGGTAGAGCACAACTGGACTTTCTGTAGACTGGCCCGGAAAACAGATGACTGATTGCCAGCGCTGGGGAGGACTTCCTGTAAGCTCACGTTTGTTTGGGGACATGGAAGAGACTGTTCTTGTTTTCTAAATCATAGTGTACCCCCTTTTTAATATTTGTATTTATTTGAAGGCCTCGAGGACCAGAAGGAAGTTCTGTGTGTGAGCAGTCTTCTTGTTTTGTTCCAAATATGCATGTGCCTGTTCAGAGTCTCCAGAAACCTTTTTTATAAAAAGAGAGCTGAAAATCATTATGATATATAATCCACCCTTAACAGTGCTAAAATGATTTCTGGTAACGTGGTCCCTAACTCAACTGGAAGGCTAAAAATACAGTAATGAAAGATTAAGCAGAGTATTCATGTCTTTGAGGAAAATCAGAATATCATGTAGGGTGACCTCGATTCCAGACCAATAGGCAGTAGTGTATTAAAGGAAGACTGGCCAATCATCTGCTGATACTTGTAAGGACTGTTTCTTTCTATGCATATAAATCAAGCAACCAAATATCTGTAGCCATTGAAATGTCTGACTAGAAATATTTATATTGGATTCTCAATACAAAATGTCCCTGTGGTAGAAACCTTATGCCTGGTACAGTTTCATTCCCAAGTGTACTGTCTACCAGGAAAGAAAAATCTAATAAAAAATGGAGTATGAACATTAAGGGTTGTATTTATTGCTATATAAGGGGAACATCATATTCTCTGTCAAAAGTATGCATTGCTTATGTCTCAAACTGCTTACAGCACATTTGTAATGGAGTTGCCAGAACTCAGTGGAACCTTAGATTTTAGTTCATAAAGCCAGCTGTGCCATCAGAGATAAGCAGTTTTGTCTAAAGAGTGCAAAGCCATTTTCAGATAGGATTTTCAGGGACTATTACAGGGTTTGCAACTGCCACGGCTATGACTATAACTCACTCCAGCTTCTGCTGCATGTGGGGGACAAAATGACTCTAGCCATCTTATTCTTATGTATTGTGGTAGCCACAAATGTATGTTTTTGTCAGACATAAGTTCAACTCTGAGAAGAAATAAATTGCAGTGAAGGATCGGAAATAAGAAAATGTATGTACATTTGCTTATTTCATTGTTGTCTTGTTTCAGAGTTGATAGGATTCTGTTGCTTGAAAGTTACTCGTCGGAAGGAGTGTGTTAATTATGGTGAGACTTTCTAGTTTGTGAGCATCGGATAAAAACGTCCCTGCTTTAAGGGAATAGTGGACTTCCCTATGGCAGACGAAACACTCTTTTCCTCTTCTCTGAGACTATTCCAAGATTCCCCCTTTGAAAGAAAGATTAAAATATTTACTTATATATCTCTTTGAAAATTTAAGATTTGACAAATTACACACACACACACACACACACACACACGAAACCCGTAATTATCTCATCTTCAAACAAGGATTCTTCAATATTATTGACAGGTTGCTGTAGTTTCATTGAATTGATGGACAGGTGAGAAGAGGCTACTGTTAGAAACATTGGCTCCTGTTGTAATGTGATCTGTAGTTTCCTAATAAAGACCCACATCGGTCCTGTGCTATGGAGCTAGCTGAAGTCAACATGAAGTAAGATGATTTGGGTTCAGAACTCTTGTGGAGGGCTCTTAGTTAAGAGCACTTATTGCTCTTGCATAGGAATTTGGTGCCCAACACCTACATCACTGGCTCACAACTGCCTGTAATGCCAGCTCTAGGCAGATCTGACACCACTGGCTTACACACACACACACGTGCATACTTACACTTAAATATATATATACATTATATATGTTGTGTTATATATATGTTATATATATCATATATATATATATATATATGTTGTGGAAGTAGGAGTAATACTAGTTTTAAGTTTAGGAAAAAGGAAAACTTCTGAATTTTCTTCCTTGTCCCCATTCTCCCTAAAGGAAAGATTGCTTTTGGCAAATTTTCTCTGGTTTACTAATTATTAGCAGGTAAATGCTTATTTGAATAAAAGCAGCCAGCAGGATTTTTAAGGCTTGTTTGTTTTTTCCCTCAGTCCTGGGGATCGACCTGGGTATTCATGTTAGGTGAGTGCTTGTCACTGCTGCAGTCCATGCTGTAACTGTTTTATGTTGTTGTGGAGTTGAAAATGAAATGAAAAACATCATTTGGGGGGCTGGAGAGATGGCTCAGAGGTTAAGAACACTGGCTGCTCTTCCAGAGGTTATGGGTTCAATTTCCAGCAACCACATGGTGGCTCACAACCATCTATAATGAGATCTGGTGCTCTCTTCTGGCATGCAAGCACACATGGACAGAATTTGTATACATAATAGATAAATCAAAAAAAAGAAAAATGTATTTTGGTTATATTTGGATATATTGAGGCAATTCTGTCTCTTTATAAAATGGAAGAGCTGACTTTTAAAAAATGTTACATTCTGAGCCTTTATATTTTATTTAGATTATAGCACATCCAGGTACCTTTGAAGGGCTACATGTGTGTCTTTGTAAACCTGAGGGTAAATGCTAAAGGTGAGTTGTGGACCACGAGGTAGCTCCGTGGTAGAGTGCCTGCTGACATCCCTCAGACTGGTCGATCTCAGTATACCCTAGATAAATACACCACACAAGTAGTAGCTATGCGTTTATTGGCTTTTGCTACACTTAAAGCAAAGTTCCAGCATTTAACCAAATATGTGCTATAAACGGACGAAGGAAACTTCAAACATTTCATTCACGTACCAACTTACTAAGCAATTTGAAGAACTAGTTACTCCACCCTTTGCTTTGACTTTAATTCTTGTCTGTATATGCTGTGCCGCCATGATGCTTCTTGGTCCTGAGTTCTGTTGGCACTTCACAGCTTGGGTCTCCAGCTTTGTAGCAGTGGTCGGATGTATTTCTCATAGGCAGGGTTTTTCTGTGTTTATAGGAATCACATTATTAGAAGAATACTTCTAGAATTAATGGCTTCACTTTAAGAGACTAGCATTACCTAAGATTCTGTTTTGTTTTTCGAGACAGGGTTTCTCTGTAGAACAGCTTTGACTGTACCAGAACTCATTTTGTAATTTGTAAACCAAGATGGCCTTGACTTTACAGAAATCTGCTTGTTTCTGCCTCCCAAGTGCTGGGATTACAGGCATGTGCCACCACCACCTTTCAATTACCTAAGAGCCTTAATTTTTTAAAATTCCTTTTAAAATTCCTTATGTGTGAACATATGGTAAGCATTTTTTCCAACAAGCCTCCTTTCTTAGGCAGATTTTAACTGCATGCAGGCGGCTGATTAAGAGAAAAGTCTACAGCTTTATTTTTTTTTCAGAATTTAATACAAATGAAATCCTTCACTTTTTGAGACTCTTTGAAATTTTGAACATGAACCACAAAGCAAGCAACCAGAAAGTAGAATCAGGTAGGCAATATTCTGTGTCAGAATCAGCTTTCCCATCATTCTCTAGTGCCGTGTCTGAGTTCTTTTCTTCATAGCTAAACTCTAGTCTTCCATACTATTTTAATTTCTTTTACAGTAAAACTATAAAGTTCTGGGGACTGGAGAGATGGCTTAGAGGTTAAGAGCACTGGCTGTTCTTCCAGAGATGCTAAGTTTAATTTCCAGCAACCACATGGTGGCTCATAACCATCTATAATGAGATCTGGTGCCTTCTTTTGTCATGCAGTCCTACATGCAGAATACTGTATACATAATAAATAAATAAATCTTAAGCAAAAAAAGAAGCCTATAAGGTCCTAACGTAGGCTTACACCCTGTTCTTCACTGTTTCTTCAATCCTAGCACACTGCCATTGCACAGTAATTGTTCTTTGAATGAATGAACTAGATGTGTTTAACACTTCTCACTATTCCTTGGGCATATTTTTACAATATAGTTACTGAGAGAGTAGAACGGGGTGTGATGATGTACACATGTAATCCTGGCATTTGGGAGGTAGGAGTTGAAGGCCAGCCTGGGCCACACAAGGTTCTGAAACAAGCACTAAAAAAGGGGGTTCCTGGTCTAAAATAACCCGTGATGATTCCTTCTTGCTTCCATAGGGAATTGCTTGGATATGATTTCATGGGGCTGGGGGAGATCTTCTGTGGCGGTTTTCTAGATCTGTCAGCCCAAAGCAGACATCACAGAGTACACCAGGGTGATGTGTCATCCTGATAGGAGAAATCTCAGCACACTCTGCTGCAGACAGGAGAGACTCCTGTGGAGCTAAGAGGAGCCTAGCACATAGCGCTTTACTTCCGGCACGAGAACACTGTCCATATGTTCTCATTTGTACTTTTGTGTCCACAGAGCATGTTTCAGTATAGCTGCTGTTTTAACTTACTTAAAATACCCGTAATGTGCCTTTTTCTATTAAAATGTCTGCTGCACTTCAGAACTATTACAGATCAAAAAAGAGTCTTTAAAAATGTTGAAGCTTTTCAAAGGAGCTGAAAGTATACGATCACGTGGCTGTATGTTACCGATAAGCAACTATCGTTTTGACTCCCTTTCCTAAACTGCCCTGCACGAAAAGACCACACCTGTGACTTAACAAGGTCGCATAAGGCCGGTTGATGAGTATCTGTCGTGACTGCTTTTGTATCGTTATGTAGGTCATAAGTAGCTCTGTCCTTTGGTTAAGTAGAAGGAAATAGAGACAGAAGAACAGCTTGAAGTATGTCAGCATTTCACAGCATCAGTGAGATGACGGGCCAGTCACGTCTCGTTTCTACAAACCTGCTATGGTTTCCAGGTTAAGGTGTTTAAGAATGAAGAAAGACAAGATGGCCCACTACAGTCTTCAGTGACCCTGAGGAATCTAGGGGAGTGGAATATTTTCTTGTGCTGCCAATGCAACAGGTCTAAGCTCTGTGTCTCGGCATTTGCCGACAGGTGCCCAGGGAGAGGTGTGGCAGCTCTATGGAGCACCAAAGGACAGAAGTCTCTCTCGAGACCATGGAAGCAGGCTGGATTGGGAAGGACTGCTTTGCTTTTATGCCAGGATTTAAACATTAGCAAGGGCAGAGAAATGATCATTAGATAAGTAACGTATTAGAAGCAGGTTAACCATAGGAGCAGTGACTATGTAGGAAAATTGTTTATATTTCCTTGAGCTAAAACCATGTCTTCTTGTGGATGGCTCTTGACTGAAGTGGGCTGGCCTGCCCGGCAGCCATTCTGGAGGTTATGACTTCAGATGATAGTGTGAAGTTCAGCTCTGACGTGTGACAGGATACATACTGCCAAGAGCAAGTCTAATAACACCTGTAAAGCGTGAGTGCAAGCCCAAGAGTTGGTCACTACATTGTTAAGACACCTTCCTGAAGTTGGACCAAAGAGAAAGTTTCACCATCTGAAAAACATATTTATAAAGTCTAATATACCCAACACCGTGAAACGACTTGTGTGTGTGCCTATAGATAGGGACGTCCTTTGTTGGGGTTGTCTTTGCCAAATCAGCTCTTTACTACAGGCTCCCTAAATTCAAAGTACAGTACTGATTGATGTTCTTAACTTTGCCCAGTGAGGCTGGGATAACTGGAATTCTCGTCTTCCCTCTGAAGACAGGCTTGCTACCATCCCCCTTATAATATATGTGCCTTCCTGCCCACCTATGATTTCCTGTCACCTCTGGATCTACATAGAATGGAGCTAAAAGGCTGAAAGTAAGATGGTTTACCACGGTTAGGATTTATCTTAGTTTTGCTTGCTGCTGTATGTGTGTGCCTTTGGGTATGTCAAGCCTTTCTCTTAATGCCCTTTCCACATTCTGAACTGTGTATTTTGCTGATTTCAGTTCCTGCCAAACTGCACCCCTGGTTTCTTTTATGTGCTCTCTAGAAGTGTTTTAAACAGATGCTCTATGCCAAGTAATTTTCAACCTAAGCAGAACTGATTAAAATGGGAAAACATGGAGATGTATTTAGCACTTGTTCTCTGCCCTTTTACATAATTTATAATGGGTTCCACTCAACTACCTGATTATTGGCTGGTGCCTTCTGAGCCCACTCAAACAGACGTTCGTAGACATGTCCATCATAACAGCCGAGTGCCGAATTTAAACAGTTATCCGTGAAGTCAAAAGCATCAGTCAACAAGATTGCATCCTTCCTGAGAGAGGAGACAAATTGTGAGCATTTCACCTTACTCTTAAGAATCGAATTGATCCACAGGAAGTAATTATAGGTTGCATCATTGTCTGCTGTTTGAACAATTCATCTTTATTATTTGGGTTTTATTTTTTTAAACCATTCTTTTTTTTTTTTAAACTTTACTTATATTTTATGTTGTGTTTTGCCTACCTGTATGTCTGTGTGAGGGTGTCGAATCCCCTGAAACAAGAGTCAAAGACATCTGAGCTGCCATGTGTGCTGGGGATTAAATCTGGCTTCTCTGGAAAAGCAGTCAGTGCTCTTAACTGCTGAGCCACCTCTCCAGCCCCCTGGGTTTTATTTATTTATTTTTTTATCAGTTATGTGTGCACAGGATAAAGAATCATAAAGTTCTTTAAAACTTGTTATTTAAAAAATCAGGCCTTGCCTACTGGGTGTAAAGTTCAGAATCCAATTCTCAATACTGGATAAAAAAAAATAAATGAAAAAAAAAGCCTAATCTTCCAGTGTACCAGTTAATTTTTGTCAGTTGACACAAACTAGAGCCACTTGGGAAGAGGAATTGCCTCCATCAGATTGACTGGTAGACATGTTGGAGCATTTTCCTGATTGATGATTGATGTGGGGAGGACAGCCCGCGGTGGGTGGTGCCATCTCTGGGCAGGTGGTCTTGGGTTGTTAAAAAAGCAACTGGAGCAAGCCAGTAAACAGCATTCCTCCATGGTCTCTGCTTCAGTTCCTGCCTCCAGATGCTGCCCTGGCTTCCTTCAGTGGTTGACTACGACCTGCGAACCAAATAAACCCTTCCTCACCAAGCTGGTTTTGCTCAGTGTTTTATTACAATAGAATGTACCTTGCTTCTCCATTCCTGTCTTCTCCTTAGAGACATAGTTGGTCTTTTAGCTGATATTTACACAGATACCTCCTAATATATATATATATATATATATATATATATATATATATATACACACACACACACACATACATACACACACACACACACACATATATATATATATATATATATACACAAATATCTCCGTATATATAGTAATGCTAGTAACTATGTGATGCTTTGGTTTTAGATGTTACTCACTGTAATAAAAACGAGAATTTCCTTTTGGGCAAATTTTGGGCAAAGAGGGGACAAATCTTACCACACAGTCCAGGCTGGCCTGGAACTCTTTGCATCCCAGGCTGACATGCAACACTCCCCTCAGTGCCCCACCCCCAGACTCCTGATGCTGGGATTACAGGCACATTCCACACACTTGGCCGGACTGAGTAGTTTTCCCTTCACTTCTATCTCTCATCCCCGGGCTTCTTCCCCTTGGCTTTCTGGCCAGGTTGTAATCTTGACAAGATTAGTTAATGTCCAGTGTTGACATTATGATGACTGTGTGACATCAAAACATTTGAGGAGGCTAGGATAATAAACCTAGTTATATTTTGTATTTTAAAATTTTGTTTTGTTTTGAGGTAAGGTCTTGTGTCAAGTCTGGTTGATCTGAACGTCTGTGTAGATCGGCTTGGCCTTGGTTTTACTGTGTAGTTCCGGCTGGTCCAGAACTGTGCAGTCCTTATGGAGGTCAGAGGACAAGGTGCAAGGGTCAGTCCTTCCACTTGTGGATCTCTGGATCAAGCTCACATCATCGTCCTAGGGACTGAACTCACGTTGTCAGTACTGGCTTCAAGTACGTTTGCCCATCAAGCCATCTTGTTGGCCTTTAATCCTGCTTTGACAACTAATGAGCCTTCTGGGTTTTTTGTTTGTTTGTTTGTTTGGTTGGTTGGTTTTTCAAGACAGGTTTTCTCTTTGTAGCTTTGGAGCCTGTCCTGGGACTCACTCTGTAGATCACGCTGGCCTCATACTCACAGAGATCCACCTGCCTCTGCCTCCTGAGTGCTGGGATTAAAAGCGTGTGCCACCACTGTCCGGCAAGCCTCCTGTTTTGACAAGAGCTAATGAGCTGTACTTCTTGTTTAATGTCCCTTAGTGACCCTGGTGGTCTCAGTTTTCTCTGTAGTCAGCTGAAATTCCATGGGCCATTATATTCTCCCCCGTGAAAATACATTCATCAGTTTTTCTTCTTTTGCCATGCTGATGTAGAGCCCTGCTCACTCCTTGTTTTCAGGGATTTTCTGCCACCACCTGTGGCATATGTGGCTGGAAAAACCAGCCTGCGCCGCTGTCCTAAGAGTTCAGGCAGCTGAGCCCCACAGCTTGGCAATCGTGCTCCATTGCTAGGATCACCGACTCGCTCACCTAGTGACTTTTCAGTCTCCTTCCATCTCAAGTCTACAGCACCCACCTCCCCTTCCTTCCCAGAGTGACTTTGCATCTTATCTCACTGGTCAAGTGGAAGTCATACGGGTTTCCCCTAGGCTCCCACCTCTGAGCATTGCGCACAGCCTCCTTTACACCTGTCAGCTCCATCTCCTGCTTCTAGCCTAGCCAGTCCTTGGTCCGCTAGACTCTTCTATCCCTTACCTACAGGAGAAGAATACATTTTCTTTCCTGTGCGGTGTCAGAAACCCCTTGGGGTCATTCCATCGGTGTTGCTATCATCTCTCTTAAGACAAGGTGGGGGTTGCTGAAGAGATGGCTCAGCGTGAGGGTCTTGGTTTAGCTGACAACACTGGGTGGCTCACAGCTGTCTCTAACTCTCCAGGCATTGCACGGGTGTTGTGCACTCAGATATATGGACGCATGCTTGTAAAACTTAAAAAAAATTTAAAAGCAAACAGGCATTTGGCTCCCCTCATTTCCCTCACCCACCCTAGATCTTGGCTTCTCTTTTGACTGAATTTGGGAGCATTTTGTTTGCTTATCTCCAGCTCTTCTGCTCTTTCTGGAGGACTGGATCCGTTTTGCTCTTACCTCAAGCACTTCCCTGGGATACCTCTTGCCTATGTCTCCTTACTGTTTGTGGAGGGTCCTAACCCTTCTCATTCACTCACTCCTAGATGACATCATCTCTCTCATGGCTTTAAATATCAGCCACATGCCACTGACTTCCAATTTATCCCTCCTTTATGTCACCTGCTTGCTGGCTTCTGTATTAGATTGCTAGCAGGCTTTTTAACTGCACTGAATTCTCAAAACAAACTCCTGATCTTGTCTGTCCTACCCAAACCTGGCCCTCCTATAGATTTCCCCTTTATGATAAATGGCCTGACTTTTCCTTTCTGTCTTGTACCATATCTAATTGTCAGCAAACACTGTTCTGTTTTCAAAGCATGTTCACATTTTACCTCCTTCCCACCACATCAGTCAGTGCTGCACTCTGGTCCAGTCTGTGGTCATCTCTCACCTGGATTATTGCGTTAGCTTCTAGATCCATCTCCTTGCCACTATTTATTAATTTATTTATAATGATTCATTTTGGGGCCGCAGGTTAAACCAATGGCATCCTGCATACTTAGCAAGTGCTCTACCTCAGAGCTGTACTCCCAGCCCCTGCTTTATCTTATTCAAAAATATATATAAGGCAGTGGCTTGGTTGAGGACCTAAGTTTGATTCCTGGAATTTATTTGTTTGCATGTGTGTGGGGGGTGCTGAGTGTTATGTTGAGGTTTTTTTTTTTTTTTAAATTTTGTTTTGTTTCTGAGATAGGGTTTCAGTGTGTAACAGCTCTGGCTGTCCTGGAACTCTTTCTGTAGACCAGATTGGCCTAGAAATCACAGAGATCCACCTGCCTCTGAGTACTGGGTTTAAAGGTATGCACCACCATTTAGCATGGGCATTTGTAATCCTAGACTGGGCAGGTGGGGACAGGCAGATCACTGCTGGGCCCAATGGCCAATCTATCTAGCTTGCTTGTGAGTTCCAGGCCAGTGAGAGATGCTGTCTCAAAAAACAAAAGCAAAAAGCCATTGGTGCTTGAGAAAGGACGCCTGAGGTTGTCCTCTGGTCTCATATGTGCACTCACACAAAACCACAACAGCAACAACAAACCCAAAACAAAACCAAACCACACAAAACCCACAAAACGTATACATACCCCTAGGCACGAATATACACAGGGCACAGGGTTAGGCTGTTTCAGGTTGTAATAACTCTGCTATGCTCAAAACCTTCCCATTCTCACACAGTAAAGGCCCAAATCTTCAGTTACACACCCCATCCCTTCTGTCTCGCTGTGCACCCAGATTCTCTAACCTTGTCTCCTCCTCCGCCTCAGCCATGCTTCCCACCTCTGTGGCCTTGTTCCTGGTCTCTTGGTAGGTAAGCCAAGTGTTCTAGTTTCCTACCTCTGTGTGTTTCTACATTGTGCTCAGTTTGTCTGGTCCTTTTTTTCTGGCAGACACATGATTCCTCTAAGGTCCTTTCTGCACTCTCAGGTCTTTTCTCAGAAGTCACCCTCCTAGACAGGTCTTCTTTGGTTTAGATGCTGGACGGTCTGGAGCTATAGTTCATAAGTAGAGAGTCCTTGCATAGCATGTCAAGGCCGTGACTTTGGTCCCCAGCACCACACAGAAACTAAAACAAGAACACTTGAAACTGCAATGCCCCTTCTGTCCTGTTCTTGTGTATTTGCGTCTCCTTGCATGGTGATCCTGGGTGTCCAATTTTAGCTAGCTGATAGTGAGGTGTTAACTAGCCACACTAGTAGAAGCCTGGGATTACTTTTTAGTGGGGTCACTGTGTGGTGAGCTGGATGGATTATAAGTGGTTTGTATCTTTAGCCCCTTCTCGTTGGCTGCTTGAAGGACTGGCTTGTCATCTTCATACATACAGGCTGTTAGCCTTCAAGGGGTCAATGGGATATGTGCTGGGAAGGGCCTGTAAAGTGAATTTTGTGGGATGGTCTCATCCTCGGCTGTGCGCAATGCTCTCCAGTCCACTGCCTTGCTGTTTACCCTTTTCACAGAACTGGGTCAAGAGGAAGGAGGAAATTGGGAATCCAGTACATTCTGTCATTTCATCTTTACCCCACTGCCAGAAACACACTGTCCTTCTGAGTTCTCTGCTGAACCTGTCTGCCGGTCCGTGTCCGCATGTCCTCTGACTTTCCTGTTTCTTCTGTCTTCCTCTTTGTGGAAGTTTTTGAGTGTTTTCAGGGCTAAGGGTGTAGCCCTTAGCTCAGTTGGTAGAGTGCTTGCCCATCACATGTGAAGCAAAATCCTGGGTTCAAACTGGAGCACTCCATAAAAACTGGGTATGTTGGCTAATGCTGGTAATCCCAGCACTGGGAAAATAGGGGCAGGACCACCAGAGGTTCGAGGCTATCCTTGGCTGTATAGCAAGTTCAAAGCCAGTGCTACATGAGGTGCAGTCTCAAATCAGATATATATTTGATGTTTATCCTGGTGTTTTAGTAGGGATTCAGAAATGAATTTGTGTGTTGAATCTGCCACCTCTATTCAGAAGTCCCTAGTGGAGGTTTTTAGTGCCACTTAAGGTACCACGACCGAGCCAGTCAGTTCATTGGCCTCATACTGAGAGCTAGTTTTGGTGTCTCTCAGAATTGTCCTGTCCTGATTTGTCATCCCTGAAGGCTGAGGGCAATAGTGGCTAATCTAGGCGGAGAACCGTGATGTTGATCTGATGAGAGCGTGGGTCTGTTTTATAAATAATTACTGCAGTAGGAAAGGAAACTTAGGACCCAATGCAAATAAGTCAGTTTGTGGTTTCAAGGTGTGTGTTGGGAGCTTATGTCTATGGAGCCAAGGCATGTATGCACGCACGCACGCACACACGCACATACTGTGCTTATGAGGTGTTATGGTTCTCTTTTGTGTCTAATTATCACCTGCCAGGCCCAAGTGTTTTGCTTTGTTTTTTCATGTGTTTTAAAAATGCTAATCATTTCACAAAGACAGGCAACTTGCACTCTGTAGTACTAATTATACCCTTAGAGGTCCCACACTGGATCCCCCTGCATTAAGGTAAATTTAATACCTGGTATAATTGTATTCTGTATACATCTGACCATTTTTGTTGGTATTATTACTTGTTTACTTTGGTGGGGATGCTATGGTTTGTGTTTGGAGGTTAGAGGATGCCTTTATAGAAGCTGGTACTAGCCTTCTGCTGTTTGGGATCAAACTCAGATTGTCAGGTTTGGTGGGGAACACTGACCCACAAGCCATCTCTCTGGCCCCATATTTGATGGTTTAATTGAACAAACATTTACTAGCAACTAGCTATCTGTCAGGTGCTGATATATAGCCACAGGGGCGTGCTACTACTGCATTTTAGAAACAAAAAAACATTTGATTGAATTTTTTTAGTCTCTTATGAAACCCTGCACCAGTTTAAAAATCTTTTTACTAATAATGAGAACTATTGAAGGTTCCAGGAGAAAAGTCACTTCCCTCCACACATAAAAGACATCATATTTTTTACCTGGAAAAGTTTAAAAAATATTGTGTTCTCAAATTAACCAAATATATATATTTGACACTAGTAAATAATTCATAGTGTTTTAATACCTGTGTCTTCTAGTTATCTGGTCAGGACAGATTTTAGTTTTGATGTGTTCTTAGAGCAATATTTACTTTATGTATAAAATAGCAGGATGAACGCCACTCCAAATTGTACAGAATCAGCTCTACATTTAAAAAGTATCTGTATTATTGCTTTACAAATCAGTACATAAATTATTGAGTCTAAAAGAGCATCTTGAAGGGATGTAAAGGAGTAATAAACTTCATTTATGAAACTTGGTAAAAATTTGCTTAAGGCAAAGTCATCAAAGACCTGGATATGCATACCACATACATAATAATAAAACTCCCCAGGCACCTTACCATACAAGTGAAGAGAGCATGCTCAGTGGCCAGAAGCTCTGAATGTTCCCAACTCCTCCTCTGCCTAATCATGTAAAGGTACAAAAGTTCACTCTCATACACCTAAGCTTGCTCAGTAGCACAGGAAGATTAAATCCAATTCAAAGGCTGAATGAATTAAATGAGATGATGCATATACAAGCTCCTGGCACACAAATCCTCATTAAACACTGGTTATGATTAAAATTGTTATTATTAACATGCCCATATATAGGAACCTTGATTTTATTCACATTTCTTAGACACTGATTCTTGCCAGTGTTGAAGAGTTCAACTAAGGTAGCTAATTTATTCTTTAGCACTTTAATTCTAATTTTCTCCTAATTCCTCTACTGATTCTTTCAGTAAGCCCAATGCTTTCTGTTGGTATAATTGTGCTGGGCGCTAGCCTGTCTAGACCCCAAGTTTACAAGGTCTTAGAGTGAGAAGCAACCTGGACATCAGAGTCTAACATGATTTCAAGTCCCAGTCACTCACCGGATCAAGGGAAGCAGGTCGAGGAAGGCTGTTCTAGCCATGTCCACCTGGGCCCCAGACAGGAAGCCGTCATGAAGAAAGTCACCTGAGTTAGTCAGAATACCATGTAAGGCATAGAGGTCACAGAGGCGTTGGAGCACCCGCTGAATCTCTGGTTCGTTGTCTAGTTTCTCCACGGCTTCCTTAAAATTCCTCACAGTGATGTAGTAGCAGTGGGCCTATGAAGACACAAAGATGCATAGGCCACCAACGCTCATTCCCAGCTCCACAGGTCATTCTGGAGGCTTGGCAAGATGTTTGGAGTAAGTGTGCCTTCTCGAGGACTGGTGGCTGTTTTTTGTCTGATGGAACCTTCTTGGTGGTGTGAATATGCATATCTGTATATGTGTACTGGGGTCTAGGTGGACTGTGAAACTGGGCCTTTGGCTTCCTCATTTACGTGAGATACCTTTAAGAGCATCAGAAAATAGAAAGAAACGCCTGGGGCAGGTGGGAGAGCTGGCCCTGTGGTCATAAGGCTGGGAGAGCTGTCCCTAGCTCCCTTATGGGGAACCAGCCCTCCAGCTGCCCAGGCCCAGACCCAGGGTTATGACTTGGCCTGCCCCAACACCCACCCCATCTATGATCTGCTGGAGCATATGAAAGATCTGACCCGCAGACCCAAAGCTGCAGGGTCTCCACAACACCGAGCACTAACGGGTGTCCAGGAAGCGTCCTGGTGGGGGCCCAGCATCAAACAGGCAGTGAACCCAGGGGCCTCGAACCAGACCAATGACTCTTTGCAATGAACACTTGCAAGCAGAGATGTACGGACAAAAGGGTATACGTCATGACTTGTTGGGTCACAACCGCACTATAGCTTCCGTGACGAGATTTTAAATTTCTTCCATATTTTTATTTTTCTCATTTTATTTTCTTCCCTTTCTTTCCTCTTGAATTTTGTTTTATTAGGGGGTGCACAGGGATTGAGGGGGGATGCAAAAAAAGGGGAATGAATGGGATCAAGATATATGATGTGGAAAACAGAATAAAGAAATAAATGAGAAGCAGGATGCTGAGAAGGAATGAATTGCCGTGTTTGGATATTTAGTTAGATTCCTCTTCTCAGAGCTCTTGGAAATGTCAGAAAGTGTGTCAGGAAGGTGCTTAATTATATTATAAACTGTAATGGCATGAAATCTGAGAAAATTCAAATAAATATAAAGTGCAGCAGTGCTAGGAAATTTCACCAGTGTCAAGATCAAACCAGCCACACTCCTGCTACCTGTAAATATCCATCATTGATGTCAAGTGTGTGATTATGTCAGAATCACTAACTCTACAACAAAGAGTACCCAAAATGGGCTTATTCATGGCTTAATCTTTTTTTTAAAATTATTTATATATATATATATATTTTATGGTTTATTTAACTTTATTTTTATGTGCATTGGTGTGAAGGTGTCAGATCCCCTGGAACTGGATCTTCAGACAGTTGTGAGCTGCCATGTGGGTGCTGGGAATTGAACCCAGGTCCTCTGGAAGAACAGTCAGTGCTCTTAACCACTGAACCATCTCTCCAGCCCCTTCATGGCTTAATCTTGAAAAATGTATTTAAGTGATTGTATTCCCTTTTGACATTAAAAAAAAAAAAGAACTGTTGTTTACTACAGAAAACAACAACAAAAGACAGTAGAAAGAAAGACTATAGGAGTATTGAAGGCTAGCCTGGGGTACTCGGAGGGTGTCAGCCCCCCCCCCTTTTCTCAAGAAAACAGCTACTTACTGTCTGCCATGTTAAGGCAGTGCGTGTGCACATGCGTGCACTGAGGAATGTATGTGTGAAATGTATACTAGCCAGAGCAGAAGGCCCTAGGTGTAAGCAGTGCTGTGTTGTTCTCTAGGCTGTGAAGGAGGGCCTGACTCTGTTTTGCCACCACTTAATAAAGAGTGGGAATCAGTAAGCAAGATGGCCACTACTAACCTTAGCCATTTGAGCGTCTTCCCTGGGGTTCCCTCTCTCCTCACTCCAACAACTAAAGGATGACGCCTGTCTCTCTGGGAGGCTGTGAGGACTCCTACTGTTTGTTAAATGATTGGAATGTGGGGCTGCTGCCAGGAGGAATCCCTTTATGAGGGAGGAAGGCAAAGGTCACCCAGTGCTTTCTTTCAGTGAGTTCTACCAGGGAGTGAGAGGCCAGCAGCAGGTCTCTTCCTGGAAACTTCCTGAGGACGGACACATCTGTGCCTTCGTGGCACATGGGAAATGAAGGTGTCTTGACTCCACTGTTTCACTCCTTCACCTTCGAAAGGATTCGGTTAGCCTCTCTTATGCTAACTGATGGAGTCCTGGCTGGTGTGTTTCAAGTCAGGGCACTAAGGTTTAAAGACAGACAAATGAACACTGGGCAGTGTGTCTCCTTTCCTGTGATCTGGCTAACCCTGTGGTTGGTAGGGGTCTCAGCACAACGGGTTGAAGACTACGTGGAACTCCCATGCTCAGAAGCGGAGGTCTGCAGGGTCCATGCCTGCCCCGGTTGCGTGTGATTGAATGCTGGGTCGCCAGGTGGCGCTCGTGCTCAGTCTGCCTGACAACCTGACCTAGGCGTGCCTCTGCAGGTACTTTCCAGGACTCCTGAGAGAGCCGTTTTTTTTCAGGCCTGGACTTTGACGATTGTTGTTGATAAGTGAGAGGTTTTCCAGTTGTTGATAAGCGAGACGTCTCAGCTGCCTCGGCTTAGCAGGCATTCTTCCTGCTCCCCACCCCGTGACTTTGAGTCCTGTAACCTATGCCCCGTATCTCTGCATCTCCAGGTTTACTCAGTCTCCACCATGCTCGTGGTAGAGTCCCCCTCAGGACGGACCAGACTGTCTCTGCTTTCTTCTGATTGGCTTCCAGCCCTTTCTTTCCCCTGCAGCATGCATGATTCTTCTAGAAACTCTGATTACTCCTTCCAAGCGTGGCACTCTCCCCCTGCAAGGGAAGGAAGAACCAGCCTCAGGCCTCGTCTCCCCTCCCCTGCTCTCCCTGCTCTGTCTGCCTCACCTTAGTTCAGTTCTCCTGCTTTGGCCTCCCAGCCAACTAGCCTTTCCTACCTGCTTTGATGAAACCTGCGCTCTTTGCTGGGAAACCTCTCCCAAGCTGCCACAACCCTCAGACAGCCAACTGCTGCTTGAAGTCTTAGCCCATGCACTCCATTCTTCTGGAAAATCTTTTGGGCTCTGCAGGGAGTGTAACCAGCAGCCATTTCCCATCCCATCCTCATGCTTCCCCGATTATAGTTGTTTGTGGGTGACGTCTTTGCTGTTTAGTATCCAGTGCTGGTGAAGAGTGGATGGTCAAATATTTATCGGCTGGTGGTGAAACACGCAAGAGAGAATGTAAATTGGATCAGACATCCTAGGATTGCCTGTGGGGCTAAGGGGAGACTTGAGCTGCTTTTCTCTCTGGGAGGAGCTATTTGAATGACCTGAATCAAATCCAGTAGCAATGCCTCATTAGATTTTCCTAAAGGCTGCCAGCACGATGCTTTGGAGTTAAGTCCTTTAATTAAAATTCTCTGGACTACAGCCTTGGATGTAAGATGGAGACAGTCTCTGAGGAGCAGGGGTGGGTAAGGATGTGAACTTGAGTTTTCATAGCATGGTGGCCTACCTGGAAAACAGAACAAGCCCCACACAGCTGACAGACATCTCACCTTGGCAGCCTGGAGGTGGACAGCAGCGGTCTGGTTCCAGGCAACATGCTGGTCAACCCCAGACCTCATGAGGGTCTGTGTTTGGTGTGCCGCATCCTTTATGAGCCTGGGAACCAAATAAAAGAGGCTCAGAATCCTGAATGAGCAGGAAAGAGAACTGATGGGCTGCTGGGGTCTCTCAAAAATGGAAATGATCTCACTGATGTCTTATATGTCATAAAGCTATAGACTCATAAGCACCTCTTTAAGGGCGGGCACTGTCAATTTACAGTGGGGAAAAACTCAGTCCCAGAGAGGTTCATTAACTTGCTCAGGATCACACAGCTAATAAGGAATAGGGCTAAGAATTTTTTTCTCCATTGAGACAGTATTGCTGTATAGCCTAGAGTGACCTAGAACTTCAAATCCTCCTGCTTTAGCCTCCGGGAGTTTTTAAGCCTTAGGATCTACTTCAGGCCATTCTGTTGACTGACTTCTTATGGTCTGAGCAAGGAGAATGTTTATTCTTCTTAGGCTGATCATGCTGCGAATTCCTCCCTGAGGTAACTAGATACAAAAGCAGAGACCCACCTCCCGACCTCTGAGCACTAACTTAGCCGTTTGCCGTTATAATAACCTTTAGTCTGTTTTCTACAGTGTTTATCTGGCCCTCGGAATTTCGGCATAAAGCAAACTGTTTATTAAGCAACACCGAGTTTGCTTTGTCAGGGACTTGATAAGCAGATGGTACATTGAGTTCCGAGGCAGGAGATGCAGAATGGCCTTTTACTTCCCCAGCAGCCTGTTTTTCCCTTCCCCAACCTTCCCAGCCCTGTGTGTCCTGTGTGTTTGTCAGGCTAGCTTACAGATAGATCCCCATTTCTAAACACAGTACCTGGCATATTACAGGCATTTAAAAGTATTGTGGAATGAATAAGCAAATGTCTCAAGTTGCCTTTGATCCTAAGAAAGCTGCTACCCTCCTTGGGACACAGGTTGGAATGGAAGCTTTCTTGGTGAATGCTGGAAATGTTCTCTCCAGTTTCTGGCTTTCCATTTTGGGGCAGAGTTCAGAAAGTTCCCTTCTAGATAGTTAAATCTCTTCAGTGATGGTGTTTGTATTTGGTTGGTTAGGGTGTGTCTCTTTTTCCAGTCTCTGGAATACTTAGTCATTTCTGACACGTGGTATTTGGTGATATTTGTTAAATGACAGAACGGGCATATTCTTTTTTTTGCGGGGGAAGGGAGTTTGAGACAGGGTTTCTCTGTAGCTTTGGAGACTGTTCCAGAACTCCCTCTGTAGATCAGGCTGGCCTCAAACTCACAGAGATCCGCCTGTCCCTGCCTCCTGAGTGCTGGGATTAAAGGCATGCACCACCACTGCCCATCAGAATGTGCACATTCTTGGGTGGTTTGTTTGTTTGTTTTTTAGTTTTTCAAGACAAGGTTTCTCTGTATAACAGCTCTGACTGTCCCAGAACTCGCTCTATAGACCAGGCTGGCCTGGAACTCAGGGAGACCCGCCTGCCTCTGCCTCTTGAGTGCTTCTTGAGTGAGTGCTGGGATTAAAGGCGTGCACCACTACCACCTAGCTGTTTTTTCATAGAATCCATGTTATTGGTTGGAGAGGTGGCTCAACAATTAAGAGCACTGGCTGCTCTTCCTGAGGACCCAGGTTCAAGTCCCATCATCTGCACGGCAGCTAACAACTGTTTGTAACTCTAGTTACAGGAGATCCAGTGCCCACTTCCGGCATCCATGGACACCGCTTGTCTATGGTGCACAGATATATAGATAAACACTCAAACACATAAAATGAAAATAAATAATAAAAAATAATGTTTTAAGCTAGGCATGGCAATGCACACCTTTAATTCTAGCACTGAGGAGCCAGGAGGCAGAGGTAGGTAGATCTCTATGAGTTTGAGGACAGCCCAGTCTACCCAGTGAGTTCCAGGCCAGCCATGACTACATAGTGAGACCCTTACTTAAGAAAGGAACAACAAATAATATATGTTTTGGGGCTGGAGAGATGGCTTAGCCATTAAAGGCTAGGCTCACAACCAAGAGTATAACATACTTTCTAAAAAGACATGTATTTTGTACTTGTGTGGGTTTATGTGTGCCACGTATGTGCAGGTGCCCATGGAAGCTAGAAGAATATGTCAGTTTCCCTGGTAACCAAACCTGAGTCCTCTGCAAGAATAGTAAGTTCTCTTAATGGTTGCGCCATCTCTCTAGCTCTGAGTCCTTAGTTTTGATCATGTGCCTTGGACTTGACTAGACCCTGACCCCTGACTACAAACAAGTTCTGTTCTGAGGTATAACTACACTTCTGAAAATTGCTTTTATGCTTTCTTTGTTTATTTAATGTGTATGATATATATATATATGTATATATATATGTGTGTGTGTGGCATATATGTACATGTGTGTAGCATATGTTAGCAGGTACATGTACTTTCATAGAGTCCATGAGGATGTCAGAAATCCTCCTCTATCAATCTGTGCCCCATTCCCCTGAGGTAGCGTCTCCCAGTGTACTTGGAGCCAGGCTGGCAGCCAGCAAGCCCCATTGGTCACCCTGTCTCTGCCCCGCACAGCATGGGCATTACTAGTATTACAACTTGTGCCTGCTTGTTTTACATGGGTGCAGATAGCAACCTGACTCTGAAAATTACTATTAGATTGTGGGATAGTTCAGACTTAAAACACTACTTTATTTGATGGCACTGATTTGTCCATCAGTTCATGGACAGTGATTTAGGTATGAGTGCATTTGTTAGATTGGAACTCACCATAGGTACCTAAAGGTTTAAAGGCTTCCTCTCACTAGCCAGAGAGGGGATACATTTCTACCACTGTGACTGGGATAAAGAAATGGTGGTGGTCGATGGCTGAGGGGTAAGGTGTTCTTCTTCTACATCCACAATCATAGGAGCTGGAGGTCTGGAGGGGCAGGGGATGGCGGTGGTTGGCAAAGCACTGTCTGCTAGTGACCATCCAGCTGTCCTTGTGTGGGAAGCAGCCCACCATGGGTGGGATGCTGACTTCTCCGTACTGGCTTACCTGGTAGATACATGTGCCCAGGCTGTGGTGTAGAGATCTGGGCAAAGGAAGTCAGCTGCTGTCCGGGCTGCACACCTGGCTGGCCCTGGTTTGGCAAGATACATAACAGACAGAGGGAGAGGCTTCTGTGGGGGGCCTGCGGACACCTGCAGGTAGCTCTTCATCAGAAACCTGGGAGGTGAAGGCAGAGACAGATGAGGCAGTGTGTGACTCTGTGGGACCCTCAGCCCAGCTCGCTCACTCCCAGGGTCACACACATTCATGCTGTGCTCCAGTGGGGAGAACCAGGGGCTCCAGGCCTCTGCCCGACAGTCACTCTTCACCCACCCCGCATGTCTTCTGTAGGACCCTCAGGGAGATGTACCCAAAGTACTAGTTTCCTTAGCAGGTGACGGGAGCATGCAAAGCTGGGCTAGACTCCCTTAGATCCTAAACACAAGTCCTTTTGAGGTTTGTGCCAACACACGCTGCACTATCAGGATTGAGTGGGGACTTAGGATGTGAGTACAGTGTCTGTGGCCATCCAAAACAGTCAGATACATGAAAGAGTACAGACATAAGGAAGAAGAAAAGTGACTCCAGGCTGCTTCTGTCTGCGACAATCCAGGGGTTACGAGTTCCGTGCGCAAACAACCCTGGGCTCTTCTGACACCACTGTGATGCTCTACAATTGACTGTGCTTCCCTAGGCTTCACTTTCTTCATGACAATGGGAATGATGTTACTTGTCTAGCAGGGTGGGTGGGTAGAGCTGAATGAGATGCTTGCAAATTGCTTGCCAAATGCAGGGTGCAGGTTACCTAATGCATGCTATTGTATGATTTTTATAACTTGAAAAAGCAACCCTGGTAAATGCTATGTGTCATATTTGCTAGAGAGGTCCTTTTTTCTTGGATACTGAAGCATCTACTCTGTTTAGTTGCCAGAGAATAAATGATTATGAAAGAGTCAGTCATCAGAGGCAGCTGGCAAGAAGCAGCCTATTTGGAGGAGGCTGGTGAGGCCTAACTGTCCCTCAGGGTACAGCCTGTTTTGTGTTTCCTCAATGAGCGAGGCAGAAAAGTGTCTGCTCTCTGGGAAATCCTGGTTTAACTAGGAAGCAGAACCAAAAAGCTAAGCATAAGCCAGGTAGTGGTGGCGCACACCTTTAATCCCAGCACTCTGGAGGCAGAGGCAGATGGAGCTCTGTGAGTTTGAGGCCAGCTTGGTCTACAGAGGGAGTTCCAGGACAGGCTCCAAAGCTCCACAGAGAAACCCTGTCTAACCCTGTCTTGAAAAACTGAGAAAAAAAAAAGCTAAGCAAAAAGTTGTGGACAATTATGGACTGTGATAGCTTCCAAAGGAAACACGTGGCTTTGAGTGGCGGGGGCCAAGGAAAGAAGAGTATGATCAGCGGAGGCAGGAGGACCGGAGAGCAGGTTGGTCAGGCAGCATCTGGGTCATAAGGGCTGGAAGAACATAGTGTATACTGTGGCATTTTCCTTCAAGTAGAGGGAAGCTAATAAACCATTTTAAACAGGACAAAGATAAATTTTTTTTCTAGGCTTTGAAGAGAGCCCCCCTGTGCCTATGGAGAAGTGGGGACAGGAGAAAAGCAAGATCCTAGGCAGGAACCTGATGCTATATCTGGGTAAGACAGAGGGATGGCCTGGCTGGGGATAGCAGGGAATTTGGGAGAAGTGGGCAGATTAGGGACACATTGAGATTTGGACAGCTCTCAAATGGTACTTTTTCCAAAGCTTACTTCTTCCATGGCATCAAATAGAAGCCCCTGTTAAAGCAGAAGCTTAGGGGACTCCCAGGATAGGGGCAGAGGTCTGGACAACTCTGGACTTTACCTGGCCACTTGCAGGTAGAGCACTGTGTTCTCGCCCTCATAGGTGCAAGAAGCTGTCACTTCAGTGACCAGTTTTGGCAGACCGCTCAGCTTCGAGTAGCCATGACCACCGCAGGCCCTGCGACATATCTCTGCCCCCTGGGTACAGAAGTCCGCAATCATGGCCTTCATGCCAGTGCTCAGTGCATGGAGCTGCAAGAACAAAGCAGTATAAGGGTCCTATAGTACCACCCAGACTTGTCACTTGGTGCCTGCTGCATGCTGGCCACGGCTGTGAGGCTGACGCTGTGCTTAGCTCACTGCTTCTCAGGGTATCAGACAAAGCTAATAATCAGAGGTTCTGGCTTGTGCAAAGTCACATAGTTAGTGTGACTGTAAGAATGAAGGAAAACCTGCCCTAGCCAGTGTCTCCAGGATCTCCAGAAGAGGGGTCAGGAGCAGCTCAGCACACAGAATACCTCAGGCAGGAGGCTGAAGTCTCTTTTCAGAATGGCACTGTAGGCGCCGTCGAAGAATTCCAAGAGGCTGGTGGCCACGAAATGAAAGGCGTAACTCATGGCAAGCTGGGGGAAGAGCTTCTGCTGCTGTGTCTGGTAGTCCAGGATTTTTGCCTCTGGGTCACTGAGGGGAAAAGAAGCAAATGGTTTAGAATTTCACTCTAAGCCATCTTTCCATATTCCTAATGCTGTCAAAACCGGAAGGAACATGGGACCATTGAAAGGCGAACATGAGGCTACTATGTTTTAAGCCTCACCCATCACCAACATTCACTCAGTTTCCTCTAAAAATACCCACAGCATATACATCCAATATCTTATCTGAAAATTCGAAAGGTTCTGAACTCCAAATTATCTGGACGCAAAGACCAGGTGAAGGGGTGTGGCCCTGCCCCACTGATGACTAGAGTTGGTGACATTTCACTGCCCATGTGCTTGCTGCGTGACAAGAAGTGCATTGAGCGTAAGAACTCTGAGGGTATGAACTTGGACCCAAAGATATGTAAGAAAGGAACTGTGTCCCTGTCTGTTGCTGCGTCTTCAGTACCAGGGGCTACCTCCAGCATATGGAGACCCGAGTCATGGGATTGGGAGAGAGTGTGTGTGTGGAAAGTCCGCTGAAGTTGGTGGGGACCTGGGATCTCCTCCTCACACAGCATGCACTCATAACCAGCCTTGGGACCTTTCTGCTGCCCAGACAGAGGCACTATCACCTCTTGCCTCTGGTACTCAGTCCTCCAGGGAAGATGTGTCCCGCCTGGAATTCAAAAGCCCAGGCCTCACTCTGAGACTGTTGCGAGTTTCTAAAGGGCCTCTGAGATTCAAGCTTGGTACCCTTCCCATATTCCACCCTTACCGCCCACCTGAAACTCTGCCCCTGTTACCTCTATTTTGCAAGCTGTTATGGAAGCTGAGGGAGAAAGAAGTGCGTGATGCCCAGGCCTGCCTGGCATCTAGTCCTCAGCGTGTTTATGGCAGGTTGGGGCCCTTCGCATCAAGTAACAACAGGCCGGGGGCTGCATGTTCTCCAGCTCAGACCTGGGGACTTCACTATGCACAGGTGCAACACGGACCTGGGAGGGTCTCCTCAAGCCCAGGGTCAGTCAGTAGGCTGGAACCAGAAACTCCTCTTGGCACAAGGTCCACTAGGCTATGACATGCTCTGCTGCCGCTTCCTGATCTCGGCGCAGTTTGCTGCGTCTTGAGAGTACGTGTCCATTTGGGACCTATCCCAAAATACTTGTATCCCTGGAATTAAATTTAACTAGTGTATTTTTCTTCTGGAAATACACACGTATACTCTCAGATGTCATAGAGCAACCCTTGCCATTCTTGGTCATAGAATGGAGGAGATGGGAGCCAGAGGCAACAGACAATGAAAAGAAGGGGTCTAGACTTAGCCTTCTCACAACTAGGCACCGAGCTTGAGCCAGACAACACAAGGTTAGTCACGAGCAGACTAGGGAAATTGGCTTTTACCAGACACAACTTGACAACAACCAACCAGCCTTGACAACTGGCAGACACAAGCTCACTAGCTAGTCACAGCCATGCAGGACAAACTGGAACTCAGCAAACGGCCTGAGTCATAGCAGGTGGCACAGGGTAGAAGACATGGTCACCCAGATGATGGGGCCACACACTGATAAGAGACTAACAGGTTAGGCCAGCCAGTCTGGTGATGGAGTAGAGAGAACTAAAGACCCCACCTGGACTGCATGCATGTGTGTGCGTGTGCATGCGCGTGCGTGTGCATGTGTGTGTGATCTGCTCCAGCACCCCGGCTCTGGCAGAGGTGGTGTCTGTATAGACACCGTGGCACTGAATGTCAGTCATCTCTGTCAGGGTCAGCCTTCGGACGCTCCTTGCCTAGGCCGAAGAGGGGACTGGTGGCGTATGACCGAGTAGCGCACAGCAATGACACACGACTTCTGGAGGGAGGGTAGGATTCCTCTTAACAGCAGCCACACCCGTGTCACCAGCATGGCTAGATAATTGCTCTGTGGTGTCCCGAGCCTCCGGTAGGTACCATCTGGCAAGACCTGTGTGTAACAGAGACAGGTGCTGGGTTGGAGCCAAGGCTCCCCAGGCTATACTTCCATGAGCCTCCACTCCTGCAGGCATTCCGCTTTCCGCTCACCTAAAGCAGACCCCTCGTGCAGCATGATCGCCAACACGTGAAAATGCATACATGAGACACCCCAGAAACCCCCACCTTTTATACCTCAAAAGGTAAAGGCTGGTTAACTGGGGACTATTGCCAACACCTGGGCCATACCTGTTCTGCGACCGATTGTAGGGAAACAGTATGTTCACCCTCAGCTCCTTCCCTTTCTTGGGATCTTCTCTGAAAACCATGTGGTAAGTATTTACACATGGGGAGTCTGAGATTTCCCCAGCACTGTTGTGCTCCTAAGCTGGGTCTTATCCTTTTCTGTGGGACCCCTAAGCCTCTTTCTGGGGGAAGGGGCTTGGGGTCCAAACACAGCTTTGCTGAGGCAAACCAGAGCCTGTGGCAGCTATGCAAAGGGTAAGCGCCTAGGTGGTCTGGGGCCATAACCTTCCCAGGATCTAACCTCTGCAAAGCGACTCAGCATGTTCTCTCTGGGAACCCTCACGTGGTTCAGTCTCAGGAAGCCATTGTCTACGTATTCCAAGCCCATCTTGGGCCCTATGTCCCCAACTGTGATTCCTAGAAGAGGTAGAAGAGGGTAGAGATGAGAAGGCCTGTCAGTTGAGTGCATGCAGTATGCCAGACACACAGACACAGGTATTCACACGCACACACACACACACACGCACGCACCACACACACACACACACACACACACACACACGCACACACACAGGCACACACACAGGGACACACACATGCACACACAGAGTATACACAGACACACACTAAGGTGCACATACAGGCATGCATGGAGACACATATAGGCACACATGCAGAGACACAAAGGCACACACACACACACACACACACACACACACCATGGTATTCAGGCTTCAGGTAAGCAAGCCAAAGTCAGGCAGATGCTAAATGTTGTACTAGTCAAACAGCCAGCTCATACCATATTAGCTCTGTCAATTGGATTCCTTCTAGCCAAGGGAGATATGTCCCAGCTTCTTCTGCACATCTCTTGGGGGATTCAGGACTGGGCAAGTTGTTAGGAGTATCTTATGAGAGGGGTTCTTGAGGAAGCAGTAGAGCTTACCTGGCAGTGGGGTGTGATCCTGCAGGCTCCGGATGGGCACCATGAAGGCATGCATGCCATGCTGGGCTCCTGAGCAGATCAACTGGGCAAAGACTATAGCATGGGTGACTGATCGTCCCACTGAGCAGAAAGATGAGAGGCCCATCACAAGAAGCTTATGTACCTTGTCTTGCCTCTGCTTCCTGGGCTTGGGGTTGCTGATAGACACCTTTGAGTTCTTAGAAAGTCACTGATGACAGAAAGAATTGCCACCAAAAAACTTAGCTAGAGTAAAACAGTGACTTGTCAAGGGAGTTTGAAATGAACAAACTTTTAAAGAATTTTTGTACCCTTCCTACCACAACTGCTAATGAATCAGTCCGCTGTCAGTCAGCCCCATACTGAGTACAACCATCTCCTATCAAAACCCGGCTAGGGCTCAGCTCTTGGCTGAGGTCTCCTAGTTCTTGCAGGGCAGGTCTTATTTTCCAAATAGGGAGGTCACTGGCCTGGAGGAGGAGAGCTGGCATTCAAACCGTATCAGCCTGATCTTAAAGATGGATTTCTTTTGCCTGCAAATTTGATTTTGATCACTCAGTCATCCTTGTTTCCCTGGCCCTCTCCTCTTTCTTGCCTTGCTTTCTCCACTCTGCCACCTGCCCTGCTTTAGTTGAATTCAAATAATTTGTTTATTCAATGTTCATACCAGACATCTCTCACTGGGTCTCCAAGGGCACAGTGAAGTCCTTAGAAACTATTTCTCAGAGGGACCTTTGGCAGAACCCTGTCTTTGAGTTCACAGATGTTTGTGTGGCTGCCACTGATATCCACGTGATTGGAGCTTGTCTGAGTATGGAGTGGCAGGGGCAAGGAAGATGTTTAGCCATTAACCAGTACCAGGGCATGTGCTTTTGTAGGTGACAAGCTTATTGTTAACTTGGGAGGCTAGAACATAGGACGCATGGGGAGCTCTTGGGACAAGACTAGGTGGTGTGTGTGTATGACTATCAGCATATTGTGCATATGCACACATGTGTCTGGGAGGGCATACATGTGTTCCATACATGTATGAGTGTCTGTGATGGGGTAGCGTGCATATTTGTATACACGTTTCTAATAAAGGCAGTGTCTGTGTGTTGTGTACATGTACAGATGTGTTTTTATGCTTGTGTACTCACAAATGACTGTCAGTGTGTGTTATATACATACACATTTGGGGGTTTGTGTGTGTGGCATGTATATGCACAGGTGTGTCTGCATGAGAACAGTGTGTCTTGTGTACATGCATGTATGCGGAGGGGCAGTATGTATATGTTTGCATCTATATGGTGTCGCATGTATATGCACAGGTGTGTCTGCATGAGAACAGTGTGTCTTGTGTACATGCATGTATGTGGAGGGGCAGTATGTATATGTTTGCATCTATATGGTGTCTATGTATGAGCAATGTGTACATGATTGTAAGGGCGAAGTTTGTGTTGTGGGGCAGTGTGTGCTGTGTTTATCTGTGACTGTAGGGGGCAGTATGTGGTTATGTATGTTGCTGCTTGCATAGTTCTCTGTGGGATAGTATGTGTGCTGTGCGCATCACACGTGTTGTGTGGGGCAGTGCATATGTGATATGTTCTTGGCCCTCATCACCCACAGGTTGAGTGCATTTCCTTATCTACTCGAAGTTCCCTTCCGGTCACCTCCTAAGTAAACTCTTCACATCCTCCCTATTTCAGTTGGTTTCAAGGTGACCAGCCTAGAACAGAAAATCAACCTGATGCCTGTTGGGCATCAATGTTAGCGCTATTCAGCCCCTGCTTTGTCTTCAGGGCAGAGAGACAGGGAAGTAGGAAGGAGGATACTCACGTTCTCCAGGCCACCACTTGGTGGCAGTCATTGTAGGGCTGTGTATCACAAACTCCTGGGTGGCTGCATCATAGGTGGCTTCAGTCTCCAGGCCCTTCAGGTATGACCCTTGGGATCAAGGGGGGAGAGTTAGACTGTTGGGCCAACGTGGGGTACTCACTCGGGAGTAGCTCCTAGGTGGGCCTGGGTTCAGTGTGGGACAAGGTGAGCTCCTGTCTGCAGCCCTTTCTCCCTTTTATCTGTGGACTGTGTGAGGACATAGGAGTGCATACTGATGCTTCCAAAAGGAATGTCTTGCTCCTTTGGTAGCTCATGCAACGTATGTGTACACATTTGAAAAAGGAACTCCTTCCTCAAAACCCACGACTGCCATCTGCTGGGGTGTTTCCAAATTAACATGTCTGTTATTTGGCTATGAATGCCCCCCCTCCCCCCCGGAGTTGCGCAGTCTGAACACTGCATGCAGCAGAATCTGGCTCACCATGTCCCAGCTCTGTCTGGGCATATGTTGCGATGATTTGGAAGTTTCTGCCGAGTTGGCCCCATTTAGCAATCTGCTCATCTGAACCCAGACTTCTGAGAGCGTTCATGGCAACACCATGCAAGTTTAAGTTGGCATATCCAGCAAGTGCTCTGTGGGGGAAGAGATGCTATAGATGAGTAGCCTGTTGGAAGATGGGTGCATAACCCTTCAAACTGGCTGGGGTGTAGGAGGGAAGGGCCATCTGGCACCCCAGGGTTCCAGTAAGTCCTCCTTTGCTGAGGGAACTGTCTTTTGGGCCTGGGGGTTGCAGGCAAGCCTCTCTGGTGGGCCAACCCTGGATAAGCACCTCTTAGCATAAGTGCGTTCAGGACCGTCTTCTGACCAGCCCAGACGCTGGGCTAGCATCTCAAGGTGGAATGCCTTTTGAACTGCAGCCTCATAGAGCTGGTCTTGGGTCATGAAGTAATGGTCCTTCAAGTTGAACACCGGGTCACCTTGGAGGATGCCCTCTGCAACAGAGAGAACAGAGGACTTTGGTGGCTTGGATAAGACTCCTGACACCTTCAGATTTTCCCACCCACTTGCCTCATGGATTTGGGAAGGAAGTCAGCTGCCACTGTCATTTAACAGCTAAAAGAGTTGAGAGCCCTGAGGAGAGAAAGGTGCTTTGCCCACTATGCTCTGGTGGAACCAGAACCAGGATGTGGGTCTTCTGGTGTCTGGTGTCAAGAACCAGTTTGTTACTTGAAAGAGAGACTAAGCTGATAGATGGAGCTCATTTGGTAGAATGGCTACCCAAAATGCGTAGAGCCCTGGGTTTGTTCCACATCCCCAGTTCCCCAGTACCACGGAAACCAGGCACGATGCCCTACACCCTCAATCCCAGTGTTTGGGAGGTGGAGGCAGGAAGATTGGAAGTTCATCATCTTTGGCTACATAGCGGTTTGAGGCCAGCCTGGGCTACACGGGGCCCTGTCTCAAAACAGCAAGCAACAACAACAGCAACAGCATTAGTTAAAGGAGTACAGAATTAGTTAACGGACTGTTCTAGAAAAAAAAACATGTGGGTTCAAAGTCAGCTCTTGGCCTCCTGCCTCTGCTTACCAACTTTCCTCCTCAGCATAGTGTTTTGGACGCCTCCGTCAAGGATGTTGGTGAGCCGATCCACGCTGAAGGATGGTGTGCGCCTTTCGCTGTCTATGTCAGGGTGCACCTGCCTGCTCCAGGTGTCCCCCAGTGATACTCGGTGCACTGGGCTCCCCATCCTGGATCTGCCTGGTGTCTGAGGAGTCTCTGTTCTGAGCACTAGGAGGGGCCAAGAACCTGTGTGCAAAAGGTATTGCTCAGGGCTCAGGTCAGCCAGAGGCTGACTTGATTACCCGAAGGTCACCATGCTTGCACTCTGTCCCTGTGGACTGTGGTCCACACGTTGCTCACGAGTGAATGCAGTTCACGTTGCTCTGTCTGCAGTCTCCAAGGTCAGGATGATTTGATGACAAAGCTCCTATTCTATTCTATTCTATTCTATTCTATTCTATTCTATTCTATTCTATTCTATTCTATTCTATTCTAT